GGCATCGTGATCGCCTTTTGGACAACCTATGGTACACGCTTCATGGCCGGCGAATGGTCATGGCGTCTTCCGTTCCTTATCCAGATGATTCCTGGTCTTATTCTGGGTGCTGGCATTGTTTTCCTGCCCTTCTCTCCAAGATGGCTCGCCAGCAAAGGCCGCGACGACGAAGCCCTAGTCGTCCTGGGCAAGCTCCGCAAGCTTCCCACTGACGACCCACGCATCTTCCAAGAATGGTGCGAAATCCGCGCAGAAGTTACCTTCAACCACGAAGTGAGCGTTGAGAGGCACCCTGAGTTACAGGCCAAAACTCGCACGAACGAGTTCAAGCTTGAGGTTCAGTCTTGGCTCGACTGCTTTAGACATGGATGCTGGAAGCGCACTGTCGTTGGAGTTGGCATCATGTTCTTCCAGCAGTTTGTTGGTATGTTCCTCCTTACCCCGACGCGAGAAAATACTAACACGACTCTAGGTATCAATGCGTTGATCTACTATTCACCCTCTCTTTTCGAAACACTAGGCCAGGACTACGAGATGCAGCTTCTACTTTCCGGCATCATCAACTGCACGCAGCTCGTTGGTGTCGCAACAAGTCTATGGACCATGGATCGCTTCGGGCGCCGGCCACTACTCCTCACCGGTGCTGCTCTCATGTTTATCTGCCATCTCATCATCGCTGTCTTGGTTGGCAAGTTTGGTGGACGATGGCTGGACTTTGCAGTAGAAGGCTGGGTTGCCGTTGCCTTCCTATTCTTCTACATGTTCAGCTTCGGTGCTACTTGGGGACCCGTCCCGTGGGCTATGCCTTCGGAGATCTTCCCATCTTCCTTGCGAGCAAAGGGCGTTGCACTCTCAACGTGCTCCAACTGGTTCAACAACTTCATCATCGTAAGTCTTCCCTTCGTCTTTACTGTCTGTGACTAGCGACTGACCTGTATACCAGGGATTGATTACTCCTCCTCTTGTTCAAAACACCGGCTACGGAGCCTACACCTTCTTCGCCGTCTTTTGTGGACTCGCCTTTGTTTTCACATTCTTCGTAGTCCCGGAGACATCTGGCAAGACTTTGGAGGAGATGGACCAGGTTTTCAAGGATGTCAGCAGTGAGGCGGAAGAGCAACAGAAGGCGCGCATCATGCGCGACATCATCGCAGGCAAACAAAACGAGACTGTCACCACAACCGCAGTCCCTTGAAGCAGGACAATTGCTCAGCAAGGAGGCCAGTAGATTTTGTAATTAGCGAGACAATTATTCAGTTTATTCTTCTCACGGCTTCGCGCACTACGATTGAAATTTGAATGATACAATCGATCGAATGATCGGGCCTTCGATGCGCAATCTCATGGTGCACGATGAGCGGGTCGCTCCCGCTCGCCTCCGGTGAAAGACGTTGTGTACATGCGACGTACGTGCAACGCAAACTTCTTGGCTAGCTACCCCGTATCATGGTGATCGTTTGATTGCGTATCGTATTGTAACGATGACCACGCAACGTCGCGATGGATGTAAAGATGCGATTCGATTGCGCCCGGTTTGCCTACTTGAGAATACGAATTTCCGTCCGACGAGATCTGGTAATGGATATCTAGACGTTGTGATCAGCGTTACATATTAGGGGAAATGTAGTGCACATCAAAGACATGCTTTAGCATGTGCATCTCATGCTAGTTGCGAAAGAGATGTTTGTCAGGAGCAATCTTGTATTTGACGCCTGAAGCCATATGCTGCCTACCTAGGTAGGTACGCCAAAGCTGAGCTGCTTTCAAAAGCATCGCGTAAAGAACACCTGGAATGTAAAAGCGCACGTCACCAGATTGACAGGTGTACGCGTGCGTTGCTGTTCAAACATCTCGCCGAGTTGTGCGTCGAGCTCCATACTCCCTGTGACGTAAGAAGATTGCCTTCAAAAGGAGCTCCGCGGGAGAGAGCGCATCACCGCTCTGCCCCAGAAAACAAGTACGGCATTGCCATCTTCTACTTTCCAACCGTCAACGCCCCGTTTTTCCGTCATCGTGCTCGTGCCATCATTTCACTCCCAGATCCTCAATGGCCGATTATCTCCACGTTCTGCGCCAAAATGCGAGGTTTCCCATCGCCAAACTTTTGCAACTGGGCCGTCAGGGTTTCCCAACTTTCGCCCCGCGCCACCCTTCCCAGTACAGCATCATGACCCGACTGGCTCCAAGGCCGCGATAGTTCTGTAGAACTGCGTGTTGGTTGTCCCAGCACCGATTCCAATGCAAGGTGTGCATAACACACGGCCTCGTTCGCATCGCCTGGTATGCCTATATCGTCGAATGGCTTTGTGATCACGCTCTCGGGGAGCTCCGCTTCGAGGTAGTCTATGATGTTCGCGTTGCGCGCACTCGGGCCGCTGATGAAGAGTTCGTCGACGTCCTGGCCGGCAGGAAAGCGGAGCGCGAGGAGCCTGCGATACTGCTTCAAGATATTCTCGGCCGTTATACGGGTAACGGTAGCGATTATGTCTGCTTCAGAGAGTTTCATGAAGATGCACTCATCAACGACTCGTTGGGCTTCATGTTCACCAAACATATCCCGGGCTATGCTTAAAGAAGGCAAGACGCGAGAGTAATCGTGCGTCTGGAGGAACCGTGTGACGATAGCTTGATTGGGCTTCCCCGGCGCTGCATACTCCCCGTCGTTGTCATTGTTCCGATCGTTTGAAGTGCAGTACTTCATGGCGTAGTCAATGAACACGCTTCCAGGCCCGCAGTCGCGACAATTTGTCCCTCGAGCATCTCCCTTCGACCGAGGAGGAATGAAGCTACAATTCGCAAGCTCGCCAATGTTCAGACAAGCTCGAAACTTGGAAGAGTGTCTCAAGAAGAGTTGATCAATGTAGGCGACGGGGGAAACTTGAGGTCTCAAAGACCCAGCTTCAATGACAGCAAAGTCGAAGACAGTGTTGACACCAATCTCAGTGTTTATATTGGCGTTCCATCCCAGCGGGTGCGTGCTCAGGTCGTTTGTTTCAGGCATGTCAGGTCGCCTCAAGCCCGATGTGTGTGTGCCGACCAGGTTTATGGATGCGAGTGGTATGCAATGCTTCTCACAGAAAGTGGTAATGCCATTGGAGAACAAGTAACCGAGCAGCGCGTTGAGGCGTGTCGCTAGTGAGGAGTTGCGCTCAACTTCGCGGATGGAAGTGAGGATGTGGTTTCGAACAGGAGGTGAGGTAGGTAGCGAACCGCACTATCGTTCGTCAGCATTTGCAGGGCGACAGTATGAACAACACTAACTTGGATGAGTTCTAGATACAGCGTAGCACTAGGGGAGGCTTGCAGATACCGGACCAGCGCGAAGTCAAGCTGGTTTAACCCACTTCCGCAACAGACCCCTAGAATGCGGAGGTCCAATGCACTCTTCATGGTCTCTCTCGTATGAACCTGTAGGCTTCCATGGTCTGTTGCTGAGTCGTTGCGACGCATACTAAGCTTGACTGTTGTTCAATCAAGAAGTACACATGAGTGCTTCACATCCGGAGGCGAAGATTATCAAATGGTAGAGGCCCGGAGGTACCTAGGCAAGGGGGGACTTGTCCAGTGGCGTCCGACTGAGGCGTCACCCAAGGCATCTCGGGTTATCGCCCCATAAGGGGCTTTGCAGAGAGGAATGCATGCTAAAGGTACGCTGTGGGGTGGATGGGTATCCGTGTCGCGCTATGCAGATCTCAACGGACCCGATGAGGACTTGATGTACCAAGACTCCCGTGACCGGGCTCTGGCACCTCGTTACGACTTACGCGAAGGGATTGGCCCGGGACAGATATCCGGCCGTGAAATGACGTAGCTGCTCAACGGTCATCCCTTCAACATATCAAGTCAGCAACCAGGCACATGCTAATCAACTTCGCACGGGAAGATGCGCTTTGTGTTCTTCATTGCCGGTCTGCTACATACCTAGCAATTGATGGAATGCAGGTATAACGCGTTGTACAAGGCCATATGCATCACAGTAATATCTAGGTGATACTCACGTAGCGCTCCCAGACGTGCAATAAGCGACCGCAGCTGCCGGATATCGGTGCTTTGTTGCGAGGCTTTCGGATGCAAAAAGAGCTTCTCGTCTTGGCTTCAGCCAGCTGCCTTACGGTCAAACTGGTGGTGGCATGTGGGACGAAATGCAAGCATCTGTTGAATATCCAAGATCGACAAGACGCGTACTATGGCAAACAGTACGATTTATGATACTACAAGGGGTGCTCTAGCAAGGTTTCAACACAGGTATCGTGATCAAGCGCGTAATCACGGTAACTCAGGCAGCAGCGTACGAAACGGGTAGTTTAGTGATCTAGATGTGCTGCGCCACACACGACTTTCAGCTTGCTTCACTAACAGATTCCACATCCTTCTGGCCACCGGCCACGGGACATGCGTACAGCTCAGGCAATCTTCGGTGAACCGAGCCGAACAATGCAGCCCTGGATGTGAGATTATCTGAAAGAATTCATTGGGGCGAATGATTGCACGTGAAAACAGAGATCAGCACACGAGAAAGTACTATTTCCAAGAGAGGCATTGTTACTGTATAGTAAGATGTAGCTGTGACATTATATGGATTCCACTCGGAGTTGTTACCCGAGCTCCCAATCCTCGGAAGGTATATCTTCCCGGATTGCACAAGTTCGGTTGACTGCTGGAAGCTCCCGGGTTGAGAGACATCCATGTTCTCGCATGATAATGGGAGTTCTGCGTCGAGTTCTAGAGCTACATGAAGGGGACAAAGTGACGGGATACAGGCAGCTGACCATGGCGTCCAAAGCTGGTATGGATTATACCAGAATGATTCGCGGGTATGACTTAGACACGACGGTACTGGCTTCCAGACACTGAGCGCTTTGTTTTGCACAATAAATGTCTTGTATGGGTTTCATCATCTTTCACATCCACCTTCTTCTTGTGGTCCTATTCCACAACCGACCCAAGCTGGTTTTGGGTAGGCCAAGAGTCAATGCCGGCTCGAGTTTCTACTTCATGAGCTAAGCCACAGGAGCTGACGATGTTGGGATACCCCATTCGGCCTTCAATGCGTTACTGATCCACGTCGTCGGCCACACATGGTTTTTCTCGAAGTTGTTTAAAAGCTGTACTACCTGATCTCTCTCTTTTGGGTCGCATACAAGAGGTCCCCAGATAAAGATGGTGTGACAGACGGTGATTGCTAGTGGGACAGTCTCCGGTGAGCTATTACTAGCCCCGGAAATGGCGCGAGCATGCGTCAAGATCTGATTCTACTTCAATAAGCAAATGTTCGTGCTGTTTGGTAACTTTGGTCCTTACATCTGTTTCAGACAGGCTGCCGACGTTGCGGATTGCGAACTTGGGGCCTGGCTTGTATCGAAGCAACATGATACAGGCAAAATGATAGAACCCAAACGATACAGCTGATGGTAGTGTGAGCATTTGCGTGGAAGGACATGTTAGATAACTTACCGTGCCAGTCGGCTGTGAAGAGAATCTCAGGAAAGCAGCCCCCATCGCCGGCTGGGCCTTCGAAAATTGCATTGAAGCCGTCCGGTCTACCATGCATCCACGTCTGGACAAGATCCCACAGCTCGTTCCATCGCCGCATCTTGTAAGCCTTTTCGTTTTGTGGCTCCTTGCCGTCGAAGCAGAAGTTGACGACACATGCAAGATTCCAAGTCATTTGATTGGACCAGGCCGTCTCCAGTCTTAGTCGAGCCAGCGGGTGCGCATCTCGTAGTGAGCTTGGGGTTGGGTGTAGCTGCAAAGAAAAATCGATATCAGGGGGTTGCTGATTGATAGTGGCATTGTAGAGGCACTGGCGGACATAGACCCAAAAAGCAGCTTCGCGCAACGTGGGCGCTGATGGATCTACATAGTGATTTCCCTGAGAAGATCGAATAATGGCCGAACAGCCTGCGAGGTGCTGTTCATCATCAGAACCGGTACTGGACGGGACTAGAAGGACTTGTTAGGCATGAGAGACGCAATGCATACTATAGTACGCACCATTTAGCTGCTCGTAGAACCGCAGTATGACGATCGCACACAAAAGCGTTTCGTCGTGGCTAGCAGCTTGCTCATTCAATCGTTCGATGAGCAGGGCGATGCAACGCTGATAGGCCGCCTCGGCTGTCGCGTCTTTTCTGCAGTGGCGAGCAGCAAATGACATGACGGCATGGCAAAGTACCGGGCATTGTTTGACCTTCTCCGGTACGCCCAGCGTAAATTGACGAGTGGCGTCGGTGCAGTCAAGCCAGCGGCCAAGATGTTCGGTGTAGTGGTGCACGAGCAAGGCCTCTTCATGCGTCAAAGGAACAGGCCGGGGTGAGTAGTTTCTAGTTCCATCTGGCATGTCTCTACGGTTATGCGAATGCGCATTCGGCTGCTGCATGGCCTGGCGGGTATGCATCGGCAGCGAGCCCTCTGGCATGCCGTCCGGGTCGTGCGACTGCAGCAAACTCGCCACCGACACGCCACCCGTTGTGCTCTTAGATCGGGGAACAAAGTAAGGCGAGCCTGGCGATAGCTGAGCCGACGGTGAGGAGACGCTGGTCGATGGGCCTTCCGATGTCCCATCGGTCCGACTGTTTTTCCGCCTTCTCGGTGAAGTGTTCCGGCTCAAGCCTTCCTCGCTGAAACTGTTTGCACGAACGGCTCCTTCTGTTCGACTGATGTTATCGACCCCATCGACACCGTCAACATCCATCAGGTCCTCTTTGGTCTCGGTTTCCTCATCAGTACCGCCGGCAGCAGATCGACTGGAAGAGGGCCCGTCAGGCCGGTAGTCCTTGAACTTAGTATGAGGCTCCTCCCACTGACAGGGACGGTTTTTCTTGCCGCATGCTTTGCATACTGGACGGGTCTCGTCACCTGGGAGGACTATCAGTACGGCAAGGAGTGCCTGGAAGCAGCACACTGACATTTGACGCGGCGCGCTCGACATGTAAGGCTTGTGCAGATCAGCGGACTTTGTCGCCGCAACCTCATGGATCCACTTACCAGCCGCTCCTAGAGCGGAATTTACTGTATGAAGTCAGTAATACGTTTCATGTGTAGGCTGGGAACCGGAGTTACCCCATGTATAGGAAATCCAAATCCCAGGTTCGAATCGAAGTGTACCTGTCGCCGTATTAGCTAGTGGGGGTGTGCCCTTCGCCTCGAGCCCGATCCCTCGACGATGGCGCTCGTCATGAATCGACAAAATGGCTAATATCGGAAGTGCGTACCACAACTACGTAATTGTGTCGTTTCAGGGACCCTTCGGACGACTTCTGGAGTTTGCGCGTAGCCTTTACCGAAGCTGTGACATCTGTAGGATCCTCTCGGCAATCTTGGACAGAAATCAAGAGCGCTCAAGCAGGGCACGTGGAAGCGAGGCAGGTGTGGGCTAGATATGCTACGGAGTCGCAGGCTGTTCAACTCTCCGACGTAGTCTTGATAACATTAGTCATTTGCCAGAGTATATGCTTTACCCTCTGACGCGCTGAAAAGGGGAGTTGAGCGTATAACTCACCCGTCGAAAACGTTCGATGGCCGGTCTGTCGGTCGATGCTGGGTGGATCGGGGTGCAACGTCACGCTGTTGCTCATAGACTAGACTGTGTATTGAAGATACGGCATTCGTGCAAAGCCCATGACTGCCTCGATGAAGGCCAATCTTCGATACTGGACCTCACCCGCTCAATGCTGGTGGCCCTTGCTAGGTGAAAGTTGGCTGCGGGAAAAGATCCCGCAGCCAGTCAGAGCCCGTAGAAGGGCGGCGCTCGGATCCCAAACCCTCTCCAGGTGCTTAGGTAAGTGGGTATCGGGTGCTGAGACTTTGCTATGCACCCAGTGTCTTGTGTGCCCCGTACGCAGGGCCGCATCTGCCCAAAGATCTCGAGGATCAGCCCAGTCCCGCCAGTCTATCGGTCAAATACTCTGACAACTGGCCGCCGGATGTGATTCTAGTCCAAAAAGACTGATTCGTATCGAGGTCTCGAGCAGGTCAAATAGCTACCTGAGGAAGCTCATCAGCACGAAGGCTGCTGTATTTCTTGAACTACCAGTACTACTCTTCAGCTGTACTGGGTCGCGATCCACAGCAAGCGCAGACTGCATCCGCATCGGGGCTGCTGACCTACCTCTCGAACTGCATCGCCAAGAGTTGCTCAGATTAGCATAGTTCAGAACCTCGTTTCGACGTTGGAAACCAGAGCCTTCGCACCCTGACGAGACTGCCATCCTCAACGCTCGTGTTGTCTTGCCGTCCACGCGTGCGCCCACGAACTCCCCGATCACACGAATCCGTCCTAGCCGAGACCATCCACACACCCTGCCCGCTGGCAACACTCCTTAGCCGTACCTGCAATGACCAACTATCGCAAGCACCGGGCCAGACGTGGCACCCAACGAATTTCCGAGAGAGAACAGCCGGACCATACACTCAAGACCGACTGACAGGAGTTCCGCAAGCAGTGAAAGCGTGCGACACCACAGTAACACTGCTTAGCGTGAGCTTCGCAGGCCGAGAATACGTACGAATCTCGACGGTGAACCGAATGCATGAAATGTGGGCGGATCCCTTGGTAGAGGACCCTGTACCGTTGAGCCTTTGCAGTTGCGTCCCCGCACACTCAGAAATGACTTGGAAACCCCGGAGCCGGATCATGGAGCGCGCGGAAGGTGAGATGCCAGCAAAGGTGCCAGCTCAGGCCGAGCCTGATAATGGAGATTCGGCATCGCAGCCACATTTCACAAGCGCAGGCGCCATCCAGCTGATATTTCCTATTATCTCACGGTCACAGATTTGCTTCTGCACTTCATCTGCGGACGCCACCGGCGCGATCTGGACACCCGCTGTCGTCGAGGGTCCCAAGTTCCTACGAGCACCTTTCAAAGCCAGATTCGCCAACTGCGTACCACGGCTTGCGAGCAGCAGTCCACCGACTGACGAAACGGCAGCAACTTCACGAACACTGAACCGTCGCGATCGTACCCATTCTTAGAACCCGATTCACGTACACGGCCGAATTCGATCTGCAGGATTACCATGTAAAAAGCCTACAAATCCTTGTTTGGTGACCGCGCTTGCATATTGTAGGTGTTAGCATACATCGCATCAGAAGATTCAGAACACGGCGGACGAGAGACATACCGACAAGCGCCATTGCCGTTCCTGTCTATAAATGATTTGCAGACAGTCGATTCGTGATCGATGTTCATTGTGGCTGACGGCAAAAACACGCCAGCAGCTTCGTTGGGTGCGTTCAGTCGAAAAAGACGTAGCCAGGTATAAATAGAACACCTGCGGAGAGAGGTTCGTAGGGGACTTTGTGTCAGGAACGGAGTAGGGAAAAAAATAAGGCGGCCGAATACAGCGCTACAAGCATAGCATATGCTCTGCAAGATTTTGAGCGCGTTACGTGTCTACGTAAGACTACATGCAGCTCATCGATCGCACGGCAGTAGACCATACACTGGTGCGGAAGGATCGGATTCTCTTTGCAAGATCGGGTTTTAGCGAAACCGCATGGACCATGATGGCATTTCTGAGCCACCATGAGGGCAGCCTTACACAACCGCTCGATACGCCCACTTATATCCGTAAAAGACTTTCGAAGACTGGCATGCGATGGACGGAGACGAATGCTTCGGGGCGAGATTGGTCCAGCGAAAGCATGCTCCGCGGACCAGTCGGTCCTACCACTGCCTCGCGCTAAGTACCACCCTGTGGTTTGTCAGTGGGGATAACTCTCCCGCGGGCCTCTTGCCACATGGATCCAGAGTATCGGATCAGCTCAAGTAGGTATGGCTGATCATAGCCTAAACGTAAATTCAACGTCCACCCATCAAGAGCAGATGAAGAGACGAGCGCTCATGTGAGGAGAAACTTTACAGCATCATACACGGACATTATTGCATCAGGGTGTGATCATCAGGGGACAGCAGAACCCATGTTGTAGTCTTTGGCGCTTAAAACGCGTTTTGTCGCGTGGATAGGCAGGCTTGTACGATTGTGGAAGCATTGGCAACGGCAACGTGAGCGTCAAGACCCGCTTGCCATGTGATTGTAATCCGCGACTGCACGTTGGGGTATGTTCTACACGCACAAAGTATTGTTTGCAGCAGTGTCATACTCCAGACTACTAATGATCAGCCAGTGTGCATGTGACGATGCGCCGATGAAGCCCAACCCTGCGGCTCAACTTCCCTCAACGGTCGCTCGCCTTTCAAATCAACGCCACAGCGCGATAAGAAGATGCAACAGTCATGGCAGCTATCGAAAATATATGGAGAGGCTTCTTAGCCCTAAGCCATAACAGTTCCGTGATCATTTAACGGCCTAAGCAATGTATCGACGGGCAACCCGAGGCGTGAAGACTCGCAAGTCATTTGGTTAGTCCAATAGTCCTCAAGCAAGTATACTCTGTCAGGCCTATCTTCCTTCGTCGTTCTCTTTCACCCTCACTTTTCGACCCCCGCGTTCCACACCTCGAGTAGTACCCTAGAACGGGGATACTTGGGCCAATTACGAGACCGGACTCGCGCGCTCGCACACCGGCTCACTGCACCGAGTGACCACAGCAAACACGTTCTATCCTCGGCGGGTCCTCACCTCACTTTCCTCAGTCACGCTCACGCTCCGTTTGCATTGATCCGCTCCGGCCTGTGCTTCCCTTTTGTTTATTTCTTCTATTCTTTCTCCCCTCTCCACCTACTCTTGAACCCACACAAGAAAACACCGCTCCGACCATCGCCATGGCTGTGTTCAATCTCTTCAAGATGCTCGCTCTCCTCCTCATCAGCTTGGTCGCAATCACCTCCGCTTCACCCATCGCTGCTTCCAACGAAGTATCAACTGCTGGTCTCAACTGTCCGGCTTGCGTAACCTCGATTGGCAAAGTTTGCAAGGACAGGAAGCTCAGCGAGTACAAATGCGACACCCTGTGGTGCCTCAGTCTGGTAAGTCTTCACCCGCCTTCTTGCTTGCATTGGCGAGCTGGGTTGAGCTGGGCGAAGGCAAGGTCTAACAGAATGTAGATGTGCCGACAGTGCAATCCACACTGTCCACCGATCGGGGATGCTGTCGCTGGACCCGTCGCTGGACCCGTCGATGTCTCGGACACTGTCTCCACCAACGCCTTGGTCTCTGCCATTGACGCGGCCGTTGCCGACATCTCTTCTACTCCTGTGGCTCCAGCGGCTAAGCGCGACGACTCACTCGCCATTCTCGGCGATGATGTCTTTGCTGACACCAATTGCTACCGATGTATATACATCAACCTGTTCTGCAAGCAAAACAACCTCACTGAAGAAGAATGTCTACCCATACGGTGCAATGATCCCGACGTAAGTCTCTATTCCGGTGCGCTATCTTCTGGATGGCGCGCCAACCTCTCATAGCCGTCTTGATTACGAGAGAAGATAGACTGACAGCCTCATAGTGCAACGTCTGCAGCCGTAGTTGCCACAAGACTCAGCAGGTCGATGCATCAGACCCCGCCACCATGGAGGGTGTCGTTGCCGACATCTCTGCTACTTCCGTGGCTCCAGCGACTAAGCGCGAAGAAGCTGCACAGAAATGCGTCTGGATCTGCTTCCATGTGACGTGCACGCGCCAGTGTACCGACGTCGCTGGGGTAGCTGCCTATGCAGCCAGCGGCGCGATTGTCATCGACGAGACCGAGCTCCATGCCGACACGTCCGTCTCCGTCACTGCAAACCATACACAGCTGGAAAACAACGAGCATGTTGAGAATGCTTTCCTCTACCATTGCGACTTGACCTCTGGCAATTGCTGGACTGAGACCGTTCTTGAGCCAGTAGCTGGGACCGAAACCGCCATCGAGAACATTCCCGACATTCCACACAAGGTCTGCCGCGAGATTTGCAACACGGACAAGTCGCTCTGCGGACTGGTCTGTGACGAAGAAGCGAATAACCAGACTGCGATCAACGACCCCGTTTCAAAGGCTAAGATCAAGTGCCACTGGGAGTGCTATTTCGGTCAGTGCTGGGCGGTCTGCATGCCCGACATGGGCGGCGCCGCTGGCGACTCCAGCGACTCCAGCGACGTATCATCCGCCAACGTAGCAACAAACTTCAAGCCATGCCGCTGGGAGTGCTACTTTGGTCAGTGCTGGACTTGCTGCCCTCCTCCTTGATCGCCTGTCCAGGTTCACTAATCGCGCCGCGCGATTTCCGTGGTAAGATACAAGTCTACCTCCACTTTACAGGATACAACTGACCTCTACTAGAAGCTTGTTCTACACGGTACTTGAGACATGGAATGAATTGCAGGGAAATTACGGAAGCCTTTTGTCTGTATGCTTGGGGTATAGATTAGATCTCGTCCATAGTAGCAATGGAACTCAGGCTTCACACCTCTGACTCGAAAATACAACATGATGGTGATGGGCAAGTCAGCTGGTTTCTGCCTCTTGACGCCGCTGATGCAACGAGATCGTTCATTATACTGACTGAACAAACATAGCCAACGTTACTCGTCTACCCTCTTTCCCATATGGTATAAGTTGTACTACAACAAGATATATACATTCGTTTTTCACGCGACACAATCCCTCTCTTGCCCATGTTTACATGCCCCGCGCCTTCAGGAATGTAGCAATCTCGGCAGTGTGATGTCCCTTGACAATGACATGTTGTGTCACGCTGTTGATCTTGACATCCTCGTTCTTCTTGTTCAAGAAGACTCTCAGCTCGTCCCTCAAAGCAGATAGGTCGCCGGTGACCTTCCGTACCGTCGTCAGATGCAAGTTGCCTCCTCGCTTGTAGTCGGTGTAGATGGGCAGGTTCTTGTTCGCAGATCTCGAGACGGCGTACTTGGGCGGCGGTAGAGATAATTTGGGGGCGCGCGGCGTCTTTGGCTTCTTAGCGACCTTCTTCTGGAGCGTCGATGTTGCGTCGGCTGTGTCTGAGGGCGCGGTCGCGGGCTTGGGCGCGACGTCATCGGCCTTTGCGGGCTTCGCTTGCGAGGGTGTCTGTTCTGGCTTGTTGTCGGACCGGGGGTGCTTGGAGGGCAGTGTCGGCTTCTGCTCGGGCGGTTGCGCGCTGTCGCCTTCGGTGAGAGACTCTGCTGCGGCAAGGTCGGCGGCGCGTTGAGCTTCTTGGGGAGATGTCGGGTGTTGAGAAGAAGCGTTGGGTGGGAGGGATGGCTGAACGATGGGCTTGGAGTCTGGCGGGGGTTCTATGGAGGGTCAATTGGTGTACCTGTTGTACTATCAGAATGCATAGCTTACGCTCAGCCTGCCATCTTGTCGCTGTAGAGAAGCGGAAGTGCTGCCGGCATGCGATGGCTCTTGGGGCGGCCAATGGGCGCAGGAGCGGGACGAGAGACTGCAAGCGAGGCATTGTGATGCAGCGGTGCCGGTGAAAGTATTCTACCACGTGTCGAAGGGTCGAGAGATGTGTCGCGAGGACCGTGGGGTGAATGCTGCGGCCATGGTTTGCGGCTCAACTCCAGAAGTAGCGCCTGGGGTCCCTCGCGCGCACAGTCCGGCTGCTTTTTTCGTTTCCGAGCCCACCCCACCACGCTCGACATCGCCAGAACTCCTCCCATCACAACCAACCAACCACCCACCATGGCGGACTCAGCGGCAACCGGCGCAAATGTCGCCGAGCAGTACTCGCTGCTCCCCAAGCTCATGCCCAACCTCGACCGCCATCTCGTCTACCCGCTCCTCAACTTCTCCAGCGATGAAGACGCCGACCAGACCGTCGAGCAGAAGAAGCTGCTGCTCGAACTGCTCAAGCCCACCAACATGACGGATTTCGTCGGCCAGCTGCACCAGGAGGTCCACGGCCTCGACGACATGTCCGATGAGTTCAAGACCAAGCGCGACGAGGTCCTAAAGAAGCGCGACCAGCTCGAGGAGGCCACCAGCAAGATCAGCGGCCTGCTCGACGACGAGAACGTCGTCACCAACCTGCGCAGCGACAAGCAGCAGAACTTGGCATACCTGAAGGAGAGCCACGGCGTCGACTTGGACATGATCAACCAGCTGCTCGAGTTTGGCCAGTTCCAGTACTCGTGCGGTGTCTACCCACATGCCGCTGAGCTGCTCTACCGCTTCCGCGTTCTGGTACGTTTATATGCAGCCCCACGGCATACTGGTTACTAACGTTAGCAGACCACCGACGGCGACAAGGAGCGCGAGGCCACCTGGGGAAAGCTCGCCTGCGAGATCCTCTCCGTCAACTGGGACTCGGCCATGGAGGAGATCAACAAGCTCAAGGAGATCATCGACACACGCCTCTTCAACAACCCCCTCGCACAGCTCCAGCACCGCACCTGGTTGATCCACTGGTCGCTCTTCCCCCTCTTCAACCACGAATCCTCGCGCGAAACCCTCACCGACATGTTCTTCTCCCCCGCCTACATCAACACCATCCAGACCAACTGCCCGTGGATCCTGCGCTACCTGGCCGCTGCCGTCATCACCGGCCGCAACCGTGGCAGGAACTCGAACCAGTACCAGAAGCAGCTCAAGGATCTCATCAGGATCGTGCGACAAGAAGGCTACGAGTACAACGACCCCGTCACCGACTTCATCAAGGCTCTGTACATCGACTTTGACTTTGAGGAGGCGCAGAAGAAGCTCAGCGAGACGGAGGAGATCTTGAAGAACGACTTCTTCTTGTTGGGCGCCGCAGACTTGTTTGTCGACTCAGCGAGACATCTCATCTCGGAGAGCTACTGCAAGATCCACCAGAGAATCGACATCAAGTGAGTCATTCTACATTTCTCGTCGCTTCCAAAACCGTACTAATTCACGACTAGGGATCTCTCGACCCGCCTCGGCCTTTCACAAGACGAGGGTGAGAAGTGGATCGTCAACCTCATCCGCGACACTCGCGTAGACGCAAAGATCGATTACCAAGCCGGCACAGTCGTCATGAACCACCCACCACAGTCCGTCTACCAACAAGTCATCGAGAGGACAAAGGGAGGCTTCTTCAGGACACAGGTCCTGAGCGCCGCTGTTGCGAAATGAGCGCGACACATTACAATCGGTCGACTCGTTCGTTTCATAATGCGGGGGGAAGCTAACAGCTTCTGGGGAGGCGGGGAGACTATGATGGGGGACACGATGACGATCATGAAAGGGATGAAGGAATGATCGAAAAGTCTGGGTTCGGCATTTGGCGCTTTACGAATCAGGCGTGGGCAAGGCTCGCGCACTGCATGCATGGGTATTGGCGTCCTACCATGGCTCTAAAAAGGGCCGTCTGTGTTCCTGGGCAACAGCGCATAAACGCTGTGCAAGTAGTGAATGCGAAATGAGTAGTATCCAAGAATCAACATCAGCAATGAAACAACACTATATTCACTTTTTCCTCAACCTATCATACACTTTCAGTCTACTCAATAGACTTGCTTCCACTCATGCTCTCCCCTGTCCATCCTCACAGATCAAGCATAGTATCTAGGCTCGTTAAAGACATGATACCTATGCCCCCTGACACCTTGGCCCTTGAACAGCTCCGGGAACCTCAACCCAGCAGGAACCTGCGACTCATGCAGAAGCTCGTTTCCGTTCTCCGGCTCGCCAACGACAAATTTACCGACCTGCATCGCATGATTAGCACACTGGTCTGACGCTAGGAAACCAGAAGGAAAACTTACCTGGAGTTCGGTATCCGTGATGGTATGTCTGGAAACACGGGCATATCCACTCCTCTTCAGGCCCTTGTAGAGAATGTACTCGCACCATCTGTCCCAGTCTGACGCGTCGATATCCTTCATGCCGCTCTTCTCACCCACGTACGTGTTGTAGTTGCCCTCACCGGGTTTGATGACAAGGTACGAGAGGAGGATGGCGGGACGCGGCGTGGCTTTCATGCGTTCAGCCAGGTATTCTGATTGTAAGCGGCGATCCTCGGGGTCCTCTTCCTGGCCCGAGTGGAAGACGAAGATGTCAATCATCTCACCGTAGGCGTCGATAGTAGCTTCGATGGCCGGGGCAAGCTCGCCGACGGGTGAGGGGAGAAGATGATGGGTTGAGTTTACGATGGGGAATTTGGAGAGCAGTGCTGAGCCCCATGTGTGCTTGTTGGGGCCTGGGCCGAAGTCGACGTACATGCCTAGATCTTCGGCGAGGAATTGCGTCGTGTCGCGGTTGCCCATGATGATGCGCTGCAGATCGCTTTCGAGGAGTCCGATGACGTCGACTTCCATTTCCTTGATGAGGTCGCGCATGCGGTACTCTGAAGACCACATGTCGTTGTCAAGGGAGAAGTGGATGGTCCAGATGCCAGCTGTGATGGATTTGGTCTCCGGGTGGTAAGGCTTGTAGTCATAGGACGGGAAGCGTAGGTAGGCGGTGGCAATGGCGATCAACTCTAGAGCACCTAGAACGTAGAGGTAGTAGGATCGTTGCCTAGTGGCAGCTGCCGTGATGACCGCCTTGCCCTTGTAGCTCTTGAGTGCAGGCGGCTGAGCGGAGACACTGAAGATACCGGCACCAATCTGAAGCATCATGGCTGTCATAACCCAGTCTGTGTGCTCGCGAACAAGCGGTCCGCCGGGAACGAACGCGTACGCTACTACCCAGACGTGGAACAGAACCATGAAGTTGTACACCAAGAATCCGAGACCGAATGTGCGGCCTGGTGAGTGGCGCGCCGCATGGGCAATGAGAACAGGTGCTGCTGCCATGGTGTACATGGCGAGGACCAAGGCTCCATAGAAACCAGTCCAGTGGCTGGTGGTTGTCAAAACGGCAGCACCGATAGAGCCTATGCCGTAAAAGGCCCATGACCTTGAGAGGTTGGGCGCAAATAGTCCAATCATGAGACCAAGGCCCATGGCTAGGAGAGTCAGGGTGCCGTGGGGTACAGCCAGTGGACCCCGAACAGGGTAGCCTTCCCATACCCAAGAGATCATCGTGCTCGAATCGGAGAGGAGCGAGTGCATGGCGAACATAACACCCGCGAGGCCAAAGCTCGCAAAGACAGAAGACCCTTTGGTAGGGCCTTGAGCTGGGACATCTGCGCCAGAACTGGCGGTAGATCTGGTCGATATGAGCATCGAGATGAGAGCTACTACGAATCCAGTCCTGTTCCATCCGCCGTTTGCCTCGTGCATGATTGGCCAAATCGGGTTGTTGGTCCAAAAGGCAAACTTCGCAATGCTAGAGGCGATCAGACCAATAGCAAAAGCGGAAATGCGTGCTTCAAGGCGGTGGGGTTGAGACCGTTCGGCATAGAAGGTGGCAGACCATGCGATACATGACATTGACAGACCGAAGCCAACGGCAAAGAGTCGGTTGACGGGTGTCTTGGCAAGAAATGCGAGAAGTCCGGAGAGCGACAGCAGGTGGAAGAACCAGACGTAGCGAGTAGCCAGATAGCGGAGGGGCTTGATGCCGAGGAAGAAGGGAGTGACGGTGCACATGACCAAGGCCTCGTAGCCAGAGATACCCATGTGCCAGAGAGGGAAGTCTAAATATAATCAGCAGATATCACGATTGCACGGGATTATTCCTACATACACCAGACGCAGACACCGAGTGAAGTCAGCATGGACCAGAAGACAAACTGTACAGTATTTAGTCACGTCCAATGACACCGCGCAATGCCACTTACGCCGTTGTACACGTCTGCAGCAGCATAGATGAGTCCGAACCAAGAAAAGGCACCTGAAAAGGTCGCGCTCATTTCCTTGTTTTTTCTGCTCCTGTCAGTGACGCGCAGAGCCTCGGGAAGCAGTAGTGACTTACTCCTGGATACTGTCGGATGTCGACTTGGAGCCCGCACTACAAGACATGTCTTATCAGAAAGTGTCCATAAGAAGTATAGATTCGTGATGCGTGTCTATCTATATTGGAAGACGAGGAACGTACAGGCGAGATACACCTCGAACATCCTTTATGACAACCTCCAAGTGCTGGAACTCGATCATGGTGACGGCATCGAAGCCTACATCGAGCAAGACCAGTGCCCATTCGAAGAAAGCGTAGATGGTATATGCTGTGAAGACGTTAGCGATGGCAAAACAGTGGAATTGTCAAACGTACCTCCAGCCACTCGGTGCACCTTGTGCTGGATGAAGAAGTAGATCAACGGCACCAGAGTTCCGAAGAAGCTGCCAGCAAGGACCTTTCGGTACTTGAGGGCAGTGGGGTTCTTAGGGCTCAGAGCAACACAGCCCAGGGTCCACGGTAGCGTCGCAACAAGGTATGAAATCATGAAAATGTCGTGCCAGTCGTGGTCGTCGGTAGAAGTCACATATGTCCATCCTCCACAGGTCAAGGTCCGAAAGATGCCAACGCCAGCGATGAACTTGGGGAGGGACGAGTTGGGTCGGCGGGTCAAGATGTACCAAAGGCCGACGAGGGCGAATCTTGGGCCTGTAAAGCTTAGCATATGCCTTTGTGCGCTGTGTCTCGTTCCATACCAGAGGTCAGAGCGATGAAGAGCATGAAGACCGAACGCTCCGGGTAGCGGTCGCCGATGGTCGCGGACACGGATGGAAACCATTCATCTGGGTAACCCTGGGCACGTCAATGGTTGGCTCTGGGCCTGGTGTGGTCCTCGGGGACTAACATAAAACTCATTTTGCACAATCTTGTGGTAGTGTAGCCATCTGTGGGTGTTCAGCCGCGTCGTGGGGTAGTAGAGAGTGAGAAGCGTACATTCCGACTATGAGGGCTCCGACAAAGGCACCTTGGGGATTTGTTAGTCCGTTGATATCCGTCAAGCACATAGGAACGTACAGTAGGCCATGGCGGTATGCGAATATGATATCCATTTCCCATTGAACTACATCTGGTGAGCATGCGGAGCTCTCGGGGGTGAGGCCGGACTGCGCGTACCGTAGCGACAGTGTCGCCGTCCTTGTCCTTGACCATGGTAGAGAATTCAGGTAGGTTTTCAGCAGCGCTGGACCATTGAACGAGAAAAAAGCGGCAAAAGAGCGTCGAGAATTGATGATGCGCAGTCCAACACGCGCGTCTCCTGAAGTCCACAGGTTGCAATGGCCAGGGTTCGCGCTTCCGAGGTCCGTAGGCCAAGGCGCTACCCGCGGGAGCAACTTTAGCCTAACTTTTTTCTAGAGAAGTCAACTTTTCTATCCCAACTCTGCCAGCAGCAACACCTCGGACGCGCAAACATGGCCGGACCCAGTGACAAGGCGCGTTTCTACCTCGAGCAGTCGGCGACCGAGCTGAATGAGCTTGAGCGCAAGAAAATCTTCACACGGGTATGCTAGGCCGCCATGCGCGCAACGCCAGCTTCGCTAACATGCCATAGGAAGAAATCAGCTCCATAGCGAAGAAGCGCTCGGATTTCGAGCACATTATCAATGCACGCGGCTCGCACCCCGAAGACTACATGCGATACATTGAGTTCGAGAAGAACGTCGACGCCCTCCGCCGCAAACGAATAAAGCGCCTGGGTGTACGGTACAAGGGCTCTGGTCAGCGCACCATCTACTTCCTCTACAACCGGGCGACGCGCAAGTTCTCTGGCGACCTGGTGCTATGGATGCAGTACATCGACTTTGCGCGCAAGGACAAGGCATACAAGCGGCTAAACGACATCTTCACATCTGTCGCTCGACTCCACCCCACCAAGCCCGACATATGGATCCTCGCGGCCAACTACTTCATGGATACGCAGGCGGACATTACGAATGCACGAAGCTACATGCAGCGAGGACTACGCTTCTGCAAGAACTCCGAGGTTATGTGGCTGGAATACGCAAAGCTGGAGACCATCTACGTTGGCAAGATCGCTGGTCGGCGCAAGATTCTCGGCCTGGACATTGATCGTACAAAGAAGCCAGGCACAGACGAGGACGGCGACGAGGACATGATTGCGCTTCCCGAAGTGACGGCAGAGGATGTAAATCCCAGCCTGAAGCAGGACGATAGTGTGGACGAGGTGGCGCTGCAGAACCTGGCGTCTGCGCCAGTGCTCACTGGTGCTATCCCACTGGCAGTCTTTGACTCCGCCATGAAGCAGTTCCAGGGCAAGCCCAAACTCGCGGAGAAGTTCTTCGACATGTTTGCCGAGTTTAGTCAGCTAGCCTGCATACCACGCATCTTGCAGCACGTGCTAGATTACCTGCAAGAGAACTCTCCCCATGCCGTTGAAACTGCCATCTGCAGGTTCCGCATGCTGCTATTTGGCTGCGACCCAAGCGACCCGGAGATTGCCCTTGCATTGAGCAAGGCCCTGGACTTGATAAGCTCTACCGTTCAGCAACATCCCAAGGAGATTGCCTCCATCTCCGAAGTCGCTGTTCGACAATTGTTATCTCTGCATCGGTTACTCGCGGATGGCGATTCGTCCTTGCAGAAGGCGTCGCGTGCAGCACTGCGCAAGTATGTGCGAGCGATGGAAGACGGTCAAGGATCCGGCGATCAGGTTGCTAGATTGGGCGAATTGCTGCGGAAGCAAGGGAAGAAAGACGAAGCAAAGTTGCTATCTCAGACAGGCATCAAGTACTGGGCTGCGAATGAAACGCTCCAGAAACTTTCTGCCGTCACGGAAACGTGAAGGATCAAGGGACTTGGTCAGCAGACTAATCGTACCGAGCACTCGTGCATCAAGTATTCTTCCTATCTCTTATCGGGGGGCACGCCACACTACACCGCTACAGTCATGCTCGCACTATCGTGAGATGCACTACGATTCAACGGTAGAACCACGTCACCTGCACGTTGCGCTGAGCTATGGTGCTGTGGCAGGCCGCTTCCCCGCAGACCGCTTCACTCGTCACCCCGGCTTCGTCGCGACGTCTTCTTAGCGCTCTGCTGCTTCTTGCTCTTGAGGCGGCGCTCGTTATCTGCCTTCTGTCTGGCGTCTTATCAGCTTTCGGGCCGTCGCCTGGGCTATCGGAAGTGCGACGACATACAGTTGTTTGACACGCTGCACCTGTGCTGCCGACGTCTCGGCGGGCACAGCATCTTGTCCGGCTCGGGCAATGGCCTCGTATATGCGCCTGTAGCAGCTCTGAGCATTGTCGCTCTGCTTTCGACTGTCGTCGGCCTGGACTATTATAGCATTGGATCTAGCAGCAACGTAGCGAGAACGTCTAATTTCGCCATGTAGGGCTGCAGGAATGTGGTGCAGCAACGCGTCGAGAGGCACCTTCAACGTAGCTTTAGAATTGACTCTTGGTGCCTGCTTAGTATAGCGCCGTGTTAAAAAGTGGTGTAGTGTGTCATACTTGTTTACATTTTGGCCGCCCGGTCCTGATGATCTGCTGAAGCTCAATTCGCCAATGCTCTTGAAAGGGATCGTCTCTGCATGGAGCTCCGCGAGCCAGGCGCGTGCAGCCTGGACCTCGTCGCCAGTGGCACTGCCGCTATGCCCTCGACAGTGAATTATCCGGCGCACCGCTGGCAACGGCGCAGGAGGGAAGACTAGCGTGTGAAAAATGAAGCGTCGCAGCATCACGGTTGCGCAAATTGCTCACGTTGGCCTTTGTCAAGATGAGATCATGTCGCAACCGCAATAGCTCGAGCTAGGATCAACATGACCATTTTAACCATAAAACGGACGCTAGAAGCAGACTAAAACGCATCACGTGGACGAAGCTTAGCCAGGCAAGTTCTCGATTCCAGGCTCCTCGGAGTCGATGCGGCGCCGAATCCCAACATCTGCTGCACTACATCTCTCTTCCTGATATTTCCTGACAGCACCACCGTCTCTTGCCACTTTTACGGGGCCCGCTCTCGCTTCTGTGCCTGTGGCTGTCGCGTCTGCCTCATCCATCACATATACCTAGGTAGCATCTAGCCAGCCCCGCCATCCGCTCGTCTTCTCCTAGTGCTCCACCTGCAGCTCTCCAGCCCTTGTCGCGACGGTGCGTTTTCGTAGATGCTTTGAGTTGACTCCCTTCACCACGCCTTGTCTGCCAGCTCTGCGCTCTGGCTCCGCAGTCTACATGAGACCCAACTCGAGTCCGCCGCAACAAGCTGAGCACATACGGCACCAGTCGCTGACGCCCGAGAGCCCGCGCCCGCAAAACGTCCCGTCGCCCGCCAACATCCCCATCCTCGTAGAGCACATGGATGCGAACTATAGTCATGTCTCCCACAGCAACGACTCTGCCGCGCCCGCCCACAGCTCCCACGCGAACGCGAACACGTCGACGCCGTACTTCGCCGACCCATCTTCGACCGCCAGCTTCCAGAGTATAGGCGCACAAGGGGCAGGGCACGATGCGCCGGGGGCGTTCGCGCAGTCGGCTGCGTTTGGCGGCGGCATGGGTACGCAGCCGCATGATACCTCTTCAATGCAGAATTTCACCGCACAGCTCCAGTCGCGCGCTGCGTCGGCCACTGACGCGCCGCCGCCGGCTGCTCAAGGTCTTTCTTCTGCGTACCCATACCCCCATGACCATGCCTATGCTGCTCAGCAAGCGCCCGCCCAGTCTGCCCAAGGCGCTCACTACCAGACTGACGCGCACACTGGCTCCAATGTTGACGTACAAGCCCTCTTGGACTCTCTGACACCTGCTGCCAACAATGCGCCTGCAGCCCAATATGCCTCTGCACAAATGTCCTCCCAGTCGCCGCAGACACAGCACCATGCCTCGTCGTTGCCCTCGGCCACCAATCTCCCTGCTCGACCACCCACCCAAGAACAGCCCGCTACGCACCCCAACTATAACCCCAGCGATGACATCAGATCCTATCATCCACAGAGTCAGCAAGCTCCCATTGCCCAGCAGAGAGGCAATGGCTCCCTTCAGCCCTTGAACGTGCAGAGTCAGGACTTTTCGACGCCCAGTCAGGCTCAGCAGCAGCCGGGTGATCGTAGCGAAACGCCCGACGATGAGGATCAGCGGTGGCCGCCCGAGGTCAACAGGAGATACGAGGAGTTTTTGGATCAGGAGAGGAAGTTTGTGACGGAGGGGCAATGGGACCAGTTTCCGATGGGTTCCCGTCTCTTCATTGGTGAGCTGAGACTGTTTTTGCACCAAGGATGCGCCTAACCGATTCCTAGGAAACCTCCCCACCGAAAAAGTCACCAAGCGAGACATCTTCCATCGTTTCTACCGCCACGGCAGGCTTGCGCAGATATCAATTAAACAGGCATATGGCTTTGTCCAGTTCTTGGACTCGGAATCATGTCGCAGAGCTCTGGATGCCGAGCAAGGCCAGGCAGTGCGCGGCAGGAAGATGCGTATGTCATGTCAATCACTTTGCTGCTGGACAGTGGACTAATTATGACAGACCTTGAGATCTCCAAGCCACAGCGCAACACGAAGAAGATCGAGCCGCCGAACCCAACACCGCGTCGACGTTCACGTTCGCCAGATTACAATCGGGGCGGTACAGGACCAGCACCTAGAGACAATCGTTATGTAGGGCATCCAAACTCCATGTCCCCTAGAGATCGACGTTTCCGTGATCGGGACGATTATCGGCCCATGCGATCGCCATCGCCGCGAGCCCCGTCTCGGGGTGTACGATCACGGGACAGAAGCCGAGACAGGTTTGATACGCGATACCGTAGCCGGTCCAGAACACCACCGCGCAGGCACAGAAGCCCGTCCCCGCGTCGCGACTATACAGAGGATGGATTGGACCTGCGGCGCCGATTGCCCCACGAGGTGCCTGACATCCAGATTCTTGTGCTCAACGAAGGTCTCCCTCGGTAAGTTCGGAACCAACAGCTATTATATCAAGGTCGCTAATTCAGTGGTAGTGACTTCATCCGCTACGTCGAGGATACTTTCCGCTCGCAAAATCTCCGTAGTAATGTCCTGATATTGAGTGGTCGGTTCCCTGAACCAGCTGTAGTTCGAAGACAGATCCTTGAGGGAGTTTTGGCCATTGTGAGGCTTGATACTACTGGCCTTACCAAGGGCAAAGTTAGCGTCCAGATATTCGACCGACGTGGCGGTGCAAACAACGTCCAGTTCAACGGTACGATTGCTTATGATATACATGAGCGATTACTGACTCATGTGCCCAGAATATGCCGATCTTGACCCCACGACCGCTGGCCTCCTCGTCAACAATGCCAAACAAAGCCAATCTCGCCCGGTCCTGCCACCATCATCCTCGTACGGCTTCGCTCAGACCCTACCCCCGCACTTTCCCCAGCCAAACAACCCCTTCCCATCCCTGCCGACCAGTCAGCCGAACATCTCTAACCTCATTGCATCTCTCGACGGTGCGAGCTTGTCTCAGCTCCTCGGCGCAATGTCCGGCAATAATATGCCTCAGAATACGCAACCCGCGCCGAACCAGGGATTGAACGCTGATCTTGCACGCCTGCTAGCTCAAGTGCCTAGCCCGGCGCAAACACCTGGCTTCAGTGCTCAGTCCCAGCCGCATCTCGCACAGCTGGGCAACCAGTTCCCCGCGCTTGCTTCTCTTTTCGCCAACCAGAGCCAGGCTGTCGCTCCACCAGTGCAGACACCTACTCAGGCTGGCCCCGCGCCGGATATGTCTGAGATCATGGCCCAACTCGCTCAATATCAACGCTAAAAGTTCCATTCCATACATCCAGAAGCCTAGACATCAAGCACGGCTGTCTCGAACCTTTCCAACAGATAAACTCGACATTACTACAATAGCCCAAATCCTGTATACCGCTCCCTCCGCACATGTATCGACATGGTGTATATCCAACCGACCAAACCCGACTGCGCCCTTTACCCAGCCCTTGCAAATAGCCATGTATCTTCCACGAGCCAGCTCATCGAACAGACAGTAACCCATTCTGGACCCGTGCTATCTGCTTTGGCCATAACTGGTGAAGCTTCAAGGCCCTCGCATCCTCATTCCACGCAACAACACTATGGAGTACCCTTGCGACAATTCCCTGGCGACTTGATCATTACCCACGTACCCACGCGACTCACACGATTCTAGCGGCTTACCCCCTGGTTGACGTGCGAATTCAAACCTGGATGAGGCCCCGGTCCGATTCTTAACTGCTTTTCATGTTTTTTCCCCTTTTCGTTTTCATTTCTCTGGCCTGCCAATGCCCGGCTCCTGTATCTTCTACGAGTTTCCTTGGTCCTAACGTATGGCGTTTCCTTTCCTTATCTGATCCGATTTAGCGTTCTGCGAGGTGTTATTTGGCGCACAAGATGGATGCTACGCATATGTGCAAGGGGTTTTCATAGGTCATCGAGGGCTGGTTGGCGCTTTGAAACTTTTTTACGTTATTGTAGATATGGGTACAATCAGGCGCAGCCAGTGGTGGAATTGACGAAGGAATGCGGCGTCCATTACGGCATAGACAGGACATTTCAAATCATTCAGACTTCGCTGCATTGCTCAACATCATAGCGACGATTTTAAATGTACATCATGCAATCACGACAGTCATTAGTCTACCAAGTCGAGTTAGTGCAAACACGAGGTGTGATGACATCGTGTCGCGTGGGCGGAGGCGCGCGGACAGGGATCAGCTTGACCCAGTTTTTTCTTTCCCTACGAATGAGAAACGTCACCACTAGAGCCCGCCCTCGCTCAGCGGCTACATGTACTTCAGCATTCGCAGAGTCACGTCCCTAACCACCCGATCAGGAAACCACTGCTGATGTTTTCTACCTTGGTCGTACCGGCGCGATTGAATGGTGTCGTCGCAAACCTACAATGCCGCCGCGGTGTACACATGCGTGCCATTGCGCCGGCATTAGGAAGTCAGACGTGGCATGATGGATCGAGGAATACCACACAGAGGAGGCTTCTTGCAAAACGATGGGAGACACAAAGGAGGGCGTATGCCTCATCCACAGCGGCGCCGGTGAAAACCACAGGATATGGCGGGGCCATGCCACCTTCTCCCGCCAAAGCAACCAAGATGACTACACCCACGAAGACAACTTCTCTCAGAAAGCCTCAGTCCCCCCCTCTCGTTCCCGCGCAAACACCCACCTCGAAAGCCACAACCGTCCCCACACTGCGAGCGAAAGAGAAACTGAACCCACCACCGTTCACATACGCCCCCGATATATCTGTTCCCGCACGAACACCAGACCAGAACGTCGTCAAGTGGCTATATCGCGCCGGTCGCGCATACCTTACTTTCTACAAAACGGGCATATCGCATGTCCGGCAAACATCCAAACTTGCAAAGACGCTGCGCCAAAAGGCCGCTCAAACACCCAACAAAGATATAACCGAGGTTTTGTCAAGGGCGGAATGGCAGATTGTGCAAAGGAGTAGGCTAGACACTTTGAGATTGCCAGCGTTCGGCTTCTTGGTCTTGTTACTTGGAGAGTGGTTACCACTCGTTGTTATGTACATCACGCCCGTCATTCCAGAGGCATGCCGGATACCCCAGCAGGTCCAGCGCGCGTTACGCAAGCGCGAAGACAAGCGACAAGACCGGCTAAGAAGGATTGCTCTAGACGCCATGCGACTGATGAGCAGGGATCGACCACCTATTGGCAGCACATCTTCTGACACGCCTTCTGTAACCCT